CGCAGAGGCTGACAAAAGAAAAAACAAAAAACACCGCATTAGCGGACACAGAAAAACCGCAGAGGCGAACATAGGAAAAGGCCGCAGAGGCAGACACGTTACTGATTGCATGACGTGGAAATCTATAACGGTTGCTTTAAAGCAGTAAATTTTCCGTCGTAAGAAAAGACAAAGGTCGTTCCTTCCCAAACAACAGCTGCCAGAGAGCAATTTGCAAGTAGGTATGGGTTAACATATGAGTACTTTAATGTACATAACCTAAGAATTGGTACGTTTATTTTAGGGAAACGTTCGACGATGGAGAAGTGGGATATTCCCCAATTTAAGTTTAAATCATTCCCTCGCAATCTCATTCGAAATAAATGGATCAAATACAAGAGAAATCTTGATTACATTATCGCGGCAACGGGAGAAACAGACCGCACACGAATTAAGAATATATTTTTGGCAAAAGCTGGACCAGACCTGCAAGAGGTCTTCGCTTCCATTCCCGCTGCAGATGTACAGGAAAACAAGGACAAAAGTGTTGATCTATTTGTGGTAGCAATAAGCAAGCTGGGTGATTATTTTTCGCCGAAGCAACACGAGACATTTGAACGGAACACCTTTTGGACACTGAAGCCAGAGTCGGAGGAAACTTTAGGAAAGTTCATGTTACGATGTCAAGACCAAGCTGCTAGGTGCAACTTTGGTAGCAATGCAGAGGAAAATCGTGCCATCAGTGTAATTGACAAGGTAATTCTATACGCACCGAGTGATCTTAAAGAACAGCTGCTTCAAAAGGATGTTCTGAAACTGGACGACGTTACTAAAATTGTCAGCTCGTACGAGTCGCAGGCGCAATCGATTTACCTTCCGGGAACAAGTTTCTCCAGTGAGCCGGATTTCACATCGACGTCGAGTGTCAACAAGATCAAACAATGGTCGAATAAAGAATGGATACGATGTGGCCGTAGTGGCCATTCTGCGAATGATCCTGCTTTTCCCGCGTGGTCCAAGGAATGTATCAAATGCAAAAACATCGGTCATTTTGCTGCTCAATGCCGATCTCTCTCTACAGGGAAACGCAAGCGGTTTCCAAAGCAAGAATCGCGGTGGTCAAATAAACGTTTCAAGTCGTACCAAGTTAACGAGATCGAAGCATCAGGTGACAAGGAAGGTAAAAATTTTTTGTTCAGCATTAGTGATGGAGGTGAGCTGATTCGGATCAAGTTCGGCGGAGTAGTCTTACAGGTACTCGTGGACTCTGGATGTAAGAAAAACATTGTTGACGAACAATCTTGGAAGTGCATCAAAGTGAATGGAGCAAAGATATGGAACCAAACAAAGAACTGCAATGAGGTATTTCTGTCGTATGGAGAAAATGCGAAGCCGTTAACACTTTTGGAAAAGTTTGACACAACTGTATCAATAGATGACACTGGTAGGATTCTCGACATGGTCGCTACATTTTATTTAGTCAAAGGCGGTCAGCAGTGCCTACTAGGTCGAGTCACAGCTACAGACTTCGAGCACTCACGGGGTTAAAGTAGTGAACACAACAGGAACTCAGCCATTTCCTAAGATCAAGGGTATTCAGGTAAAGATACCGATAGACGAATCTGTATCACCAGTATGTCAACAACCTAGGCGGTCTCCCATCGCACTCATGACGAAAGTTGAAGATAAATTGAATTCGCTTCTGGTTCGGGATATAATAGAGCGTGTTGAAGGTGGCTGTTCTTGGGTCTCTCCGTTGGTTACAGTGGTTAAAGACAACGGGGATCTTCGCTTATGCGTGGTAAGCGCAGAGCAAACGCAGCAATTTTGCGGGAACGACACATTATTCCAACAATAGAGGATTTTTTTACCAAGATTAACGTCTGCAAAGTGGTTCAGCCGGCTCGATGTCAAAGAAGCGTTTCATCAGGTTGAGCTTGATAGCGAAAGTCGGTACATAACCACATTCATAACTCACGTGGGCCTCTTTCGATACAAGCGTCTTATGTACGGCGTAGCTTGTGCCCCAGAGCTATTTCAAAGAATCCTTGAGCAAATTCTGAGTTCCTATAGCAAGAATGTGGTTAACTTCATTGATGACATTCTAATTTTTGCCAACACGGAACAAGAACACGACGAAGTGCTCAAAGCAGTATTGTCTACGTTGAATGAATATGGAATACTGTTGAATCAGAGTAAATGCGTGTTCAAGGTTTCTGAATTGGAATTTTTAGGACATGTCATATCTTGTGACGGCATCTACCCTTCGAACAGTAAAGTTGAATCCCTCCAAAGATTTCGAGCACCTACAACTTCGGAGGAAGTCCGGAGTTTCCTTGGCTTGGTGACGTACATCGGTCGGTTTCTGCCAAACCTAGCAACGATTACCGCTCCACTACGAGAGTTAGCTCACTCTGGGGTTAAATTTACCTGGGGCAAAGGCCAACAGGTATCTTCCGCAAAGCTTAAAGAGATGATAGAGAACGTACAACACTTGCGATTCTTTGACAACATGTTGCGGACAAGGGTTATCGCTGATGCTCACCTGTGGCTCTCGGAGCAGTTCTTATACAATTTGAAGGATCCACCGACGATGATCCTCGACCAATTGCTTATGCCAGCAAAAGTCTGACAATCACAGAGAAACGCTATTGTCAGACGGAAAAAGAAGCTCTGGCGCTGGTCTGGGCCGTGGAGCGTTTTTCCGTCTATCTTCTGGGACGCAAGTTTGAGCTGGAAACGGACCACAAACCCTTAGAGGCGATTTTCAAACCCACCTCTAGACCATGTGCGTGGATTGAACGGTGGGTGCTTAGGCTCCAGTCATTTTCGTTTATAGTCAAATATCGGAAAGGCACTAGTAATGTGGCAGATCCAATATCACGATTGGTTGAGGAACAACCACCGGAAGAGTTTGACCCTGAAAGCAAATTTATGGTGCTAGCGGTTCTGAAATCAGCGGCAATTGACGTGCAGCAGCTTGAAGAGATGTCCAGCACAGACGCGACTTTGGAGGCCGTAAAGCAGTGCTTACGCACCGGAAACTGGGATGCAAAACAAGCATAGTCATTTGCTCCTTTCAAGAACGAATTGGGGTTCGTCGGAGACCTGGTAGTCAGGGGAAACAAGCTGGTTGTTCCGGAATGCTTGCGATCACGAATGCTAGACCTGGCTCATGAGGGCCACCCGGGCGAATCGGTGATGAAACGACGATTGCGTGACCGAGTTTGGTGGCCCGGGATGGACCGTGATGCAGAGAAAAAGGTTAAATCATGTGAAGGGTTGGTTTTTTGAGTATGCCCAATAGACCGGAGCCGATGTGTCGGTGCGTGATGCCTCCCAAGCCGTGGATTGAGGTGGCTTTAGACTTTCTCGGACCTATGCCGTGTGGAACGTACTTACTTGTAATTGTCGACTACTTTAGTCGTTACAAGGAGGTGGAGACGATGACCAAAATAACCAAACCGTAGAAAGACTTGACAGAATATTTAGTCGACTCGGTTACCCACAAACAATCACCTTAGATAATGCGAAACAGTTTGTTGGAACTGAGTTGGATGAGTACAGCAAAATGAAAGGAATCACTCTCAGACACTCAACCCCTTATTGGCCCTAGGAAAACGGGTTGGTAGAGCGTCAAAACCGCTCTCTACTGAAGCGCCTACAGATCAGCCACGCACTCGGCAGAGACTGGCGACGGGATCTTCGTGAATATTTGCTGATGTACTACACTACGCCACATTCGATCACGGGTAAAACTCCAACGGAGTTGCTATACGGAAGAACGATCAGATCTAAAATACCTGCTCTGGATGATATCGAAACAACACCGGCTAGTAATGAAGTTCGTGACAGGGATCGAGTATTGAAAGACAAAGGGAAACACTCAGAAGACCTCCGACGCCGTGCTAGGAAATCATCACTCACCACAGGCGATACAGTGCTGATGCAGAACCTTTTACCAGGTAATAAGTTATCAACGACGTTCAATCCAAGAGAGTGTATGTTGTGATGCACCGTTCGGGACCGTGTGTTACAATTTAAGATCCAGCGACAAGAAAATCGTATGATAAGAACGTGGTCCACCTGAAAAAAGGTGTCTGAGAATGCGACAGATACGATTCCAGCAACTGAGGAAAACAACAACCAAGAACACAATGAACTTCCGGAGTCTACCAATTCAGAAGATGTATCCTACGGGTTTGACCTCGGGTTGAATCAAAACGAAGAGCCCAAATCGGTTCCCTCACCACGACAACGACGTACCACGAAGAAGCCTGCAAAATTTGTAGATTACTTACCATAATATTCAGTTCTGGAAAAAAGGGGAGATGTGGTGCCCGAGTACGGGCCTCGCCTATTTATGCTACGTTAGAGTCAGTACCTGGAGTCGGCCCTGGATCGAACTGTCAGACGAGGTAGATCTATGAGGTTCTGGTGTGTGCAGAAGAAGTGGAATAAAAACTATGTTGTTTGATTAAACAGTAAAACTGTGTTAATTATTTATTATACAATTGAGAGCATTACAGAGATAAAAGAAAGATGTTCAACTGTTCCCTTGGGATATTCATAGGGATAGTTATGTCAAAGCCGTACCGCCTGATATCATGCTTATTACGAATATCAGTGTCGCAAGTTAAATTCAGTGCAAGACCAATATCTAACGTCAATTGACATTGTTGACAGCACGCAGCACTGTATGTAACCATCCATCTTTGTAAGCAACGTATCCTACTTTTAAAATGCCAGTAAAATTCTGATTGTTTCTGTGTTAGTAGCTACGCAGTAAAGGAGCATTTTTCCAAGGTTAAAGGAGCATTTCATTGTTTTGATATTACGTTTCCCAAGGACAAGATGAAACTACTGTATACTTGACTTCGATAGTTTTGAACTTTGTTTTTTTTTTAAATTATTTGATTCGTATGCTACTTAGCATTAGTTGCAATATTAGAAACTTTATTAAACTGCCAATAAGATATTCATCATTTTTACTCTAGAATTTATTCATTATAGATTCCAGCAGATATGTCTCACCTTTTCACCCCTTTAGTCCTTTAATTCCGATCATGATTGAATAATAAGAGCAACCCATAGTCATTTTCTGTTTGAGCTGCTCACATCCATCCGCTGCCGTCCAGATTCCCTTTGGACATTGCTAAAAATATAAAGATGCATGAAAAAGGGTAAAACTGTACACCATCATCCTCAAAACGGGTACCTCAAACAGTTTCTGTTTCACGCAATTCATGTACGCTTGCGGAATGAAACTGCATCCTGCTCTGCCCGGAGTAACCGGAACAGGCTTCACACTGTAAGCCGGATTACTCATCACGTAACTGTGGCACTCCTCCACGGTACCATTGAGCAACGGTCCAAAATTCTTATCAACCCCGATGTTTTTAGCCAGCACTTGTTTCACCTGGTCCGGAATCAGCTTCCCATCCACGAACATACCGGTAGTCGAGAATAGACACTCGATTACGCACTACGTTGGATTCAATAAAAAAAAAAACCGTGTTAGATACAAAGTCCTAGTTGAAAACATTCACGTCATCAGGCAGCACGTACAGATCCTTCATAGGCTTGTATGCCTGGTGGTAGACGGGGACTCAATGGTTTGAACTCCACGTCACATTTGGTATTGATCTCTCGGTCGACGAAGCGCGGAAGTAGACAGCAATCGTTGGCGTTCACTTTGTTGCCCTGGAAACAAGCCACGTCGTCTGGTGGAGGCTGTGAGTTGATCTAAAAAAAAAAAAGATGGTCAAATCAGTTTTAGGGCGTTTCAAGTATCCTCAAGCGGCATTACAGCTAATATCGAAACATAAAATATAAAAAAGCACGCTTCCTTCATTTCGGTTTATAGCGCCTGTAGTAGACCAACGTGCCTATCGTTACTTTTATAGCCCAGCAAATTAACTGTGAAGGTGAAAACAGTGGAATACTAGCATGGTTGATTTTCGTAACAGATGTCGCTAGTAAACAAAAGTTACGGCATTTTATTTTGTGTGCAGAAGCAAGTTTTGGTTTTCAAGAAAATTTTAAACCTTTTTGACAAAAAAAAAATATGTGGTACACTTAATAGCTTTAATTTTTACCAAACTGCAGCTGAATTCGGGGCATACATTTCATCTTTCTCTTTGATGAAATTTATGCCTGGGATTCAGCTGCTGGCCTAGCAAATATTTTTTTTTTCTGTTTTCGCTTTTAAACTTGATATTTTTGCAAAAATGTTTAAATCTTCATACATCATTTTTTTCAATAACTTGAACCCCATAGGAAGGTGGCGCCATGGGCAGTAGTTGTGAGATCAAAACTGAAAGCTAACATTAATCCATTGAAATGACTTGCATTTTTACGATCTACTGTGTGAACTTTTGTGATTAGAATCTTTGTTGCACGCACCGATTCCGAAATTAATAGTTTTTGGAGAGGTATTGCGCATTTCGCACCAAAGTAGACCTCTGAGCAAAAAATAGATACTAGAAAAATTTTCAAAGTTCTATCAACACTAGCATGTCGATATAACACTAAAAAGTGCAGCACTTTGTAAATTTTAATTTTTACTGGACCGAGCAAAAAAAAAATACAATTAAAGGGCTAAAGTCTTCTTTGGTGCAAAATGCGCAATATTTTTGCTCCAATATTGGGTTGATTATTATATTCCTAAATATTAATAAAAATGCACAAATGCACACAATGATTATTAACACTAATAATACCCAATCTTAGCCCAAATCGCAAAAGTCCCGCTTCACAGTCCATGTTGCTTCGGAGAACGTGAAGAAGTGCCCTCACTGCAAGCAAGCGCATCTTTTGTTTCAGTGTAGCAGCGTCCAATGTCTTACACCGCAGCAACGATTCGAATTCGTGAAGAAGCACGGGCTTTGCATCAACTGCTTGAAGGATTGCTCCAGTGGTTCGTGCAAACAGTGCTCCAAGAAGCACCATTCTCTGCTACATCTACCACCGATTTCGTCGTCGTCGGTTCCTGGTACATCGGTAGCAACATCAGCTTTGGTTGGTCAACCCACTGCAGCAATTAGTTCGCAATCGTCTCAAATGTCGCAAACCGATGCGACCACAGTCGCACGTTCGCCGCCGGTAGAAGCCGGCAACTCACCACTCGCGAATTCGTCTCGATCGTTTCCGCAATCGTTTTCGGTCGGTATCGCCCCTTCCACATCGCCGGTTGATCCAATCATTCTCGGTAATCATTCAAAGTGCTGAAGTGACTCAGCTTTTCGGCAAAGTACTGTTGTTCTCTCCACAGCAGTGATCAAGGTGAAGGACGCTGACAACAACGAACATTTCGCCAGAGCCTTGCTGGATAGTGGCTCACAACCCAGCTTCATCACCGAATCACTCTGCCAAAAGCTCCGTTTGAAGCGTGTCAAGCTCAACTCGTCGGTCAGTGGAATTGGTCAATCTACTGTGAACGTCCACTTTGGAGTTACACTCTCGCTCGCTTCACGCTACGGAGATCATCGCTTCAGCCTGGACTGCCTAGTGCTGCCGAAGCTTACCGTATCGTTACCCAGCCACCATATCGACGATTCCACGTAACCTCCCGCTGGTTGATCTCCAGTTTAACATTAGCCATTATCGGCGCTGAATTGTTCTATTCGCGTCTGGAACATCAGCAAATCTCTGTCGCTACTCGGTATCCGCTACAACAGAAGACAGTTCTGGGTTACATCGTTTGCGGAAAGGTAGTGGATCCAGCTCCCTATCTACCGGCAGTTCAGACTAGTCACGTCTGCATGAACGACACGCTTGACAAGCAGCTCGAACTGTTCTGGGAAGTTGAAAATTTTGACGTCGGGAAAGCCTACACTCCCGATGAGCAGCGTTGTGATGAACACTTCCAATAAACCGTTAGTCGAGCTGAAGACGGCACATACATCGTCCGTCTATCTCTACGGGAGGAAATACTACCAATGCTTGGAGATTCCTACCCAGTCGCACTACGTCGGCTCCAATCCATGGAGAAAAAGTTTGCTATCGATGAAGGTCTTCGTGAAGCTTACCACGGATTCATGGAAAAATATGAAAGACTGGGACGTATGGAGGAGGTGAATCCGTCCGCGTCGCCTAGCCCTCAGTTTTTCCTACCCCACCATGCCATCCACCGTCCTGAGAGTACAACCACGAATACACGAGATGTGTTCGACGGATCCTGCCGAGGCTCGCACAGCTTATCGCTCAACGAGGTCCTGTTGTCCGGTCCGACAATACAGCCAGCTCTGTACTCAACCGTTATCAACACCCGCATGCCTCGTTTCGCCGTCACTGCGGATGCCGAGAAGATGTTCCGGCAGATTTGGACACATCCAGATGACTGTAAATATCAGGAGATCCTGTTCAGGAAGGATCCGTCAGAATCAGTTCGCGTGTATAAACTAAAAAGCGTAACTTACGGTCTCGCTAGCTCGCCTTTCCATGCTACTCGTGTGCTGTACCAATTGGCCACTGACGAAGGAAAACGATGTTCGTTGGCGGTCCCCGTGATCAAGAAGGGAATGTACGTAGACGACGTACTCACCGGCCACGACGACCTAGAAACGCTCCCGGAAACTTGTCGTCAGTTGATGGAGATGCTACAGCAAGCCGGTTTTGTGCTCAGGAAGTGGGCGACCAACGATACCGCCGTCCTCTCAAGCGTTCCTCGTCAGCTGTGGGAAACCTCACCGGAGCTTGAAATCGATCGCTCGCCTACTGTGAAGACCTTGGGACTTCTCTGGTTTCCCCAATCGGACACATTCAAATTTAAGATACCAGCTCTACCGACGCTCAACGCCGCAACAAAACGCCTCGTCGTGTCCAAAATGTCACAGCTGTTTGATCCTCTTGGCCTTCTGGGACCCGTGGTGGTTAAAGCCAAGATGTTTGTCCAAGTTCTGAGGGCAGAACACTTAGAGTGGGATGAAGGTCTGTCCGAAGAATACGCCGCCTGGTGGGCAGTCTATCGCTCGGAGCTCAGCCAACTACAAGCTCTCTCCGTGCCACGCAGAGTCGAGCAGAGTCGCCAATACAGCGTACACTGCTTCTGCGAAGCTTCGAAAACAGCATACGGCTGTTGCATCTACGTCGTCTCTCGTGACGATTCTGGACAGCTCCACAGCCACCTACTGACTGCCAAATCACGAGTTGCTCCACTGCGTGGACAGTCCATTCCTCGACTAGAACTCTGCGCTGCACTACTTGGCAGCCAGCTTGTCGACAATCTAAGGCAAAACACCGAATTCGTGAAACGTCCAACATTCTGGGTGGACTCTAGGATCGTTCTACATTGGATCAAGTCACAGTCGAATGTCTGGAAGGTTTTTGTCTCAAACCGCATCGTCGAAATACAGCGTCTCTCGAAGGATTGCACGTGGAGGCACGTACCGTCGGAATTGAATTCAGCCCACCGGCAAGCCAGATCTCAAAGGACGATTTGTGGTGGCATGGACCGAGTTTTCTAAAAACCCCCCTTGAAAATTAATCAATCATAACTCATGCTTTATTAAGTACCTGCACTTGTGCTTGTAATCTATAATTAAACATGTTTCAAGTACTTTTGATTTTGACCTATACCTATTTATTATATCTTAGTTCGACCCAGGTAACACCTTCATGTGACTAAAATGCTTCATTTTGAAGTTAGTTTCCTAGCTGATTTTTAAATTATATAGGGTATATGCTCCAACTATGCTCACACGCTTCCACTATGTCGCACCACAAAAATACGTATGGGTATGTCACAATAGATGCACGCCACAGTGGAAATCCCGAGCCATAGTTCAAACACTTATCCCAAATCAAAATGAAGCACATATAAGATTAGTTGCAATACCATGTACAAAAATGGTGTTTAACATTGTTTCCTGAGTAATACTTCAATGAAAACAACAACGAAAGCTTGTCACGCAAGTAGAAAGAGCACTGTTGGGCATTTTCTGAAACATTTCAATAGTATAATTCCCTTACAAACCCAAATAAATCTATCTGCGTAAAAATAAATAAAATAAGAGTGATTTGCGGCAAAACCCACCAGTAGCACACCCAACGTCAGTGCCTTTACGTAAGCGTACTACGACGCGGCTCTCAATCAAAGGAGTAACAAGTGTGATACTATCACTGCTAGACTAGATGTTTGGTTCTCTCATGCAGTGGTTTATGAGAGAGGGGAACCTTAGTAATCCCCATTGCCTGCCCATGACGCTATTCTATCGCGGCATGAGCCAGCAACACTGGCCATAAACCTACCGTCTCCAACACTCCACTGTAAAGCATGAAATTAAGCCCAACCACCAACAGCAAGGTGCAAAAACTAGCCAAGGAGAGGGAAAATGGTTCATTTATTGATGTAAAAGTAAGATAACTGTCCCCGTATTCGTATGGATTCCTACACACCTAGAACAATTAATATAAGTTAAGGTGCTCTGAGACTGACATATACGAGTGTCAATTTTTACATAAAATTGGGTCATAATAGGCCCGAAATTTAGCTCGTCGAACGTACTTTCGAATATTTCAGTCTCGGAGTACTTTTACATGACATGTTTGTTTACGTATCATCCTTTATGGCAAAGAAGGACCGTCACGTGTAAGATTAGTTATTTCGAAGTGTGTATGCCAAAGCCGCGATATCTTGCTTGCTACGAATATCAGTGTCGGAAATGAAATTCAGGACTGGAGCAATATTTAATAAAAATTGACATTGTAAAAGACACACAGTCGTTCTTCTGAAGTCATTCTAGCCGAAGGACGTATTTTCCGAACATTGGTTTCTTTGTACCTTTGCAATGTTGCTAAGAATAAATGTTTCATTCACTCTTTATTTATTCCTTTATTTTAAGGGAAAACATGGAATCCTACAGATACATTTGATTAAAGAAACGATATTAATTATGACATGATTAACTTAATTTAAATACACATAACAGAAACCGTTCGGAAGTTAAAAGTGCTTTATATAACAGATTCTTAAGCCTAACAAAGCCTTATGCCTTAAGGGAAGATATTAAAATCAAAGCAGCTATAACATTTGTTGAAAATCTTCCGAATTCTACTTAACGGCTCATTAGCACCGTAGTTTGTGTGAGAAGCCAGGATATTGAAAAAATAATATGAACGCAATCA